CTCCTTTCAAGCGTGTGTGTTTTGTGTTTAGTGTTTTGTGTGTTTTGTGTTTTATGTTTTGTGTGTGTATCACCCGTTTTTGCATTTTTTTACTTCTCTCTCTCTCTCTCTCTCTCTCTCTCTCTCTCTCTCCCCCTCCTCTCCCTCCTCTCACACACGCGTTGGTCGGACTCTAACATCGTGTGACGGTGAGCAGAGGGTTCAGCAAACTGGACTGGACCAGGGGGTTTGATAGATCACCTGTTTGCTCCTTGGTCCACGCTCGGTTTACTTTTGTGCAGATGTGGCGCGACCACCCGTCTGTCGAGGGTTTGCGGACTTGATCACACACACACACACACACCAATAGATTGGTTGGGGATTAATCTACCTCCCAAGCACATCATGGTCGGAGCCGAGCTGAGCGCCAAGCGTGCGCGGCGTATCGCTCGCCATCAGGTGCGACCTTCGATCCAAACAACGTGCTCGAAAACACGCTCTCCCCGCTCACGCCATAAACACAACGAGATGCGCGCACTCATATGCCGACACAGTCAGCCCATCTCAGACCACCACTCCCACATGCAGCAGCAGCAGCATCATCAGCATCATCATTCGGTCCTGATCATCTTCCTTATTGCTATCATCATGATCCACCAACTCGCACATGCGTGTGTGCCCGACATCGGTTGGCCCTATTTTCATTTCACACACACAGACTTACCCACATACGATCATCACCTTTGCTTTGCTTTGCTTGATGTGCGAAGGACTGCTCTTCCCACACGACCCTCTTGTGTGATCTGGCGCGGTGGTGTGTGCGCGTGTGCGTCTCTGTGTTTGTATGTGCGTCCGAGAGCAGAGGGACACGCTATGCTCATGGCCGACTCCACGTACTCCTCCTCCTCCTCTCCATTCTGCCTTGATCTTTATCGACACGTGTCGTGACACACATCGTTGAGCGGAGCGAATTTGTGTCACTTCCCCATACGCCCACAGATATGGGCCACACACACAGAGACACAGACACAGACACAGACACAGACACAGACACACACACACACACAGACACAGACACAGACACACACACACACACACACAAACACACACACACACACAAACACACATCTGGTTACATTCAAACCGCCGCCTTTGCTCGCGACCCTTGCTTCCTGCTCCTGCAACACGATGCACTCACTGCAAGCCAATGCACTGCCCACCTGTTCACATTCTATGCTGCTTTTAACAGCCTCCTCACCGATTTCTGCGTATCCTGGCTTTTTCATTAGGAAACTGAACGCATTCGCCGCGAGCGATTGAACGAGCTCATCGGCCTGCTGCACACCGAATTGGCCCTGCCCGCTGCCACGACCAAAGTTGACGTTCTCACCAAAACCTTGAGCATCGTCAAGGCGAGCCATCAACACGCTTCAGAGCTTCAGCGTCTGCAGGCGGACATTGCTGACTTGCGTCGCCAGCTGCAAGCCGCCCATGCCCAACTCCAACAGCAACAGGACAGTCACACCTCCGTCAAAGGCCCCACCCAGCCTACACCAACACAAGCCAAGCAGTCACAGAAACGCAAAACTTCCAGTCCCCAGCTTGATCTGCCACAATCACCCATCAACCGACTGCACAATACCCACGCAACGCTGGTATCAGAGCCAGACGACGATCGAGGGATGGTTCTTGATCTTGATTTGGCTGATCATACCTCCCAACTCGAGACCAACTTGGAGTCTTCTATGGCCGATACCACCATCACGAGCGTGGATGATGGTGCGCCCACGAGCACCAGTATGCTTGAAGACGTCGCCCCCTACGGCTTCACATGGGCACTGGAGCCGACCGCGTCCAGTGGCTCGACCGTTTCAGCCACTTCGGACGCGCTTGTCGCTGCCTTTGCACAGCCTCAACACACATCCCTGCACGATAACAACCTGCACGTTGGATGTGGCTCCAGTTCCAACTCGCCCCATCACACCGCCTCGCTCGGCACCAACGCGCATGCCTGGGAAGCCTGTGCCAGCAACACCCTCTCACCGACACAGGACGCACAACGCGAAAGCACGGGTAGCGGTTCTTTGGCAACCTCCCTCTCTACTCCTTTGACTACCAACGCCTCCTCTTTGACTTGCCTAGGTCATAAAGCGCAGTTGGCACCGCTTGATCTTCTTCAGCAACATGGTCATGTTGGGTATGGGCTGATGCTACCGGCTCCAGAACACGCATCACTCATGGCGCACGAACAGCATTCCAGCAAGGGGCACCAGTGCAACACAGTCGCACCCCCTTCCTTTGGCAGCAACCTGGCTTGGGACCTTGTGGTTCCCAACTCAACACTGCAACAACAACAGCAGCCGCAGCCGCAGCAGGGGCACGAACTGGCAACGCAGCAGCCGCTCGAGGTCTTGAGCAGCGGCTTGACTGATGACATGCCTTGCATGGCTGTTGACATCAAGGGACGGTTGGTCAAGGACATTCGTGTTTTAGATCTCTATGACATGACGATTGACTTTCACCTCAGCGCACTGGTGGGACGCAACCGATCTCGCGGCCCACAGATGCTCGAGGTCAATGATGATATGGTCAAGCTTCTGGACACGACCCGCGAAAAGCTCATGAATGGCATGTGTGACGAGAAACACATTTCATCGGACGATCGAAAGCTCTTTGAGCAGGGCTACATGGAGTTGGTGTCACACCGCAAAAAGCTTATGCGGGTCGTCTGCTGCATCCGCGTGCGACCAGATGGCACCGAGCAGTGGTGCTATTGCGTCTCCCGTGTCGTACCTGGACGTGCCCTGCGCACGCGTCACTTTCCCGACCTCGAGTTGCCCATTACTGAGACAGCGGCCATCGAGGTCGACCGACCCAGTGATGGTCAAAGCCTCTTTATCTTGGAGTGAAAATGACTCATTTCTTGAAACCTTTTGGCTGAGCACCGCCTGTGGCCAGGTTTTCTATCTACCAGAGCATGTGAGTAACAAATGCCAGACCCCACGACCCCATTCGAGGATTGCCGCGTAGTACAATGTGCCGATTTCTCCTTTGACCGCAAGTGGCCTGGTCAACTGTGATAGCGTTGAGCCTTGCAGCAACTGCGGCAACTACTGAGTTTGTTTTGTGATTAAAATAAAGGAAAATCCCCTTACCTTCCACTCTGGGATGACATGTCGATCCATGTCCGTGAGTGTCAGAGTGCGTGACTGTGTGTGTGCGCAGACAGACCGGTTCCCACGCTTATTTTTTATCCCTTGGACCGCGCGTGGTCTTAGTTTATATGTAACAGAGTCTTGTTGGCGTTCTGGCTTCAAATCGATTGTATTCAGCCCTGGTTCCACTTGCATGGCGCAATGCGAAGCTGCTTCTTGCTTTCGAAAGGCCAAAGCCAAGACGGCAGATTGGCCTCAATACTTACACAATGATGATCGATGTTGGATCTCATTCGCCATGTTTTTGCAACACTCACCGATTCATTTCTCGACATGTCTTCGGTAGAGTGGCGCATACGAGCGGGAAGCAAGCAGAATATGAGAGAGAGAGAGGGAGAGAGAGGGGGAGAGAGGGAGAGAGAGAGAGAGAGAGAGAGAGAGAGAGAGAGAGAGAGAGAGAGAGAGAGAGAGAGAGAGAGAGAGAGAGAGAGAGAGAGAGAGAGAGAGGCGCACACACACACACACACACACACACACACACACACACACACACACACACACACACACACACACACACACATACACACACACATGAAGAAGAGCATTTCCCTCCATAACTGTCAAAGTGTGCAACGCACACAGAGGCGTCATTTTTTTTTTTTTTTTGCTGGAGCTGGGGCTGGAGCTGGAGCTGGGGCTGGTGGTGTTGTTTGGCTGCCACCCCCGTAGCTGCTGTTGCAGAGCTCGTTGCTGGGGAGAGGAAAGAGGGACAGGGTCAGCGCGGGGACGAGAGACGGAGGTGGATCAGGGCCTAGGTGGTCAGTGCTGGATCGGATTTTGCATGCATGTGGATTGTGCACGAGCTTTGCCGAGGAGATCCAGCTGCTGCGACGCTCGAAGCTCGATTGGGCTGCACCGCGCGCCATGGGGTTGCCGCGGCGAGAGAAGAAATCGGTGAACGCATACATCAAAGAATACTTGCGCAGTTTGGTACCGATTCGTACCTGGCTGCCAAAATATAACCGCTCTGACGTACGTGCCGTGTCGCCTCGTGTGTCGCCTCTCTACAACAGTCCCAGCCGCTGCAGGACATTTGGGCCATTGCAGCTGCTGTCATAGTCCAGCGCAGCGTGTATCTGACAGGCTTGACGATGTGGCGTCAACGCAGGCTCAAAGCGATTTCATCGCCGGATTGACCGTGGGTCTCATGGTCGTGCCACAAGCTCTTGCCTATGCTTCAATCGCTGGACTTCCCAGTCAGGTACCGTGATCCTTGCCAAACGCCTCTGCGGCCCGAGCGGCGCACATCCTTCAAAGAGCAGTCGTTCCAGGCCAATAGCAGAGCTCCGGCTTTGACTTGCTTGACTCATGCTTTCACTCGAATTGTGTTGCTGCTTCTACTTTGCTTAGTATGGCCTGTATGCCTCCTTCATGGGCTGCTTTGTCTATGTCCTTCTCGGCTCGTCCAAGGATATCACCCTGGGTCCCACAGCCATCATGTCCCTTCTAACTGCCAAAAGCTCGCAACAGGTACCCTCTTTGCCCTGCTGCCTAGTCCCCCTCCCTTGCATCAGCACTCGCTAAGCGCTGTCTTCCCTATCTTTGATCCTGCCAATCAGGTCGGGGGCGTCACAGTGCCCGCACATGCCATCTTTCTGTCCTTCATGGCCGGCGTCTTCCAAGTGGGCATGGGTATTTTACGCCTCGGTACGATAAATGCTCCAACCTTTTTCTTGTTAATTTTGTTTTGGATCAAGCTTTGGGAACCATTTTCAGCCCTCCGCAATCGGCGGGCATGCCTTCTTTGCGGCTCCCTTTTCACCTCTTCACCTGTCCACCTGTCCATCGCCAGGTTTTCTTGTGGATTTTATATCCTTTCCCGTCATCAACGGCTTTACCACCTCTGCCGCCATTACAATTGGCTTTGGCCAAGTCAAGGTGCCATCACCCACCCACCGGCTCTGCCTCCTTGTCCAAACACGCCTGATCCTTAATGGCCCCTCTTGCATTTCCATAGAGTCTTTTCGGCCTCCATGGCGTTCGCCGGCCCTTTCTCGAATGTGTCCATGACACATTTGCAGGCCTAGACAAAACCATGTATGTCTCGTGGTCCTTGAACCGTCTTCCAAATGACGTTTCTTGATTACTTGAGCACCCGACGAACAACTCACAACAGCAACGACACCGACGACGACGACGCTCGCTTGCGATCACTTCTTGCATAGCATGTTGGATCTGGGTGTGGGCTGTGCCGGCTTTCTGATCCTGATGCTCCTCAAGGAGTGGAAGGCCCGCCATGACAAGAAAGCGGGCGCTGTGGCTAAAATAGCCTGGTTTCTTGGCACGGCACGAAACGCTGTCGTGGTCATCCTGGCCGGGCTGTTTGCCTACGGCATGCTCAAAGGCCAAGTCGTGCAGCCCTGCCATAAGAAAGGCCCATTTGACCGGTCAGTTAAAACTTGCACACGAGACGATAAAGGCCAGCAAACCACCTCTAATGGAGCGGCTCGTCACCAGTGCTCTGCCTCGACTTCTCGTCGTATTGACGGCGTGCTGATACCGTCTCTCTTTTAGGAGCTGCATTACCGTGGTCGGGGATCTGCCCGGTGGCCTGCCATCTCTCGAGGCTCCTGACTTGGGTCTAGCCGGCGTATGTGCATTTGTCCTGCTCGTGCTCAATCTTTTCTTGGATCGGCTGAAAATGACAAGAAAATGCACATTCTGCGACCTGCACTGACACGCCACGCCAATCATGCAGGACTTGATAAGTAGTGCCTTTGTTTGTGCCATGATCGGCTACTTGGAGTCCATTGCCATTGGCAAAGCCTTTGCCCGCCAGAACAACTACAAGGTTCTTACCGCTCCCTCGACTGGCCATGCCCAGGGCATGCATCGCGGCTCATGGCTGCGTTATCGGTATCTTTGCAGATTGACCAATCTCAGGAACTGGTGGCCATTGGTGGTGCCAACATCTTGAGCTCCTTCTTCCAATCCTATCCCATCACAGGCAGCTTCTCGCGCACGGCCGTCAACTCGGCGTCAGGTGTCCACACGCCCCTGGGTGGCAGCATTACCGGACTTGTCGTGATTTTAGCGCTCCAGTACATGACTAGTATGTGGCCATGGTCTCGTCGTTCTATCACAAGGCTGAGGCTGCCGCTCACCGATTCTGTGTGGCTTGTTTAGGCCTGTTCTACTACATCCCACAATCTGCGCTGGCCTCCATTATCATCAGTTCAGTGGTGACCATGGTAGACTACGAGTCACCTATCATCATGTGGAAGGTCAATCCGATTGACTTGATCCCCTATCTTCTCTCCTTTTGGCTTTGCTTGATTCTTGACATCAAATACGGCATCCTGGCTGGCGTGGCCGCCAACGTCTGCATTGTCATGTACTTCACCGCTCGGTGCGTCAGTCCTTGTTTTTGATGTCGCGCGGCATGTCGAGACTTATTTTTTTTTGCGCGCACATACGCACAGCCTCACCGATTGTCTTTTTATGGTATGGCATAGGCCGGGACACGACCTTTTACAGCGCTCCTTAATTCCGGGTGGCACAAACAATTATGAACCTACCAAGTATTACGCTGGCATGGTTGAGCACCTTCCTAATGGCGTAGCCGTGATCCGTTTGAATGGCGAGTATGTCATTTGGCTCACCGTGGCCTGGTTGACTGGGCCCAGCAATGCTCGAGGCTCGGGTTCTAGCGTTTCCCCATCTTGTGTCCCGTCAAGTACAAACGCGTTTTTGATATGCAAGATTGAGATCGGGCTCACCACTCAATGATGCGCCCTGTGTGTGTGTGCAGCCTATTCTTTCCCGGTGTGGCCAACCTCAAGGATATGATCGAGGAGTTGCATGCAGAAGTGAAGTTCAAGGCTCTTGTACTGGACTTTGCACACGTGCAGCACATTGACTTTACCGGTTTGTTAGCGTGCCTCATGCGGTGCTTGTCAGACCGAGCATTTCTTTCTTGACTGTTGCCAACTCATTTTGTCTGCTGGCCGTAGCTGCCACCGGCATGCTGGAGATTGTGGAGCTGCTACAGGGGGTAGATGCCACGATCGCCGTGTGCAACCTCCACATCGACGTGTCCCAGGTTTTGAGTCGCAATGGTGCTTTGGGTGCCGTTGTGGTCTGCATGTGCGTACCACCGTGTGCCATTGATTACCTTTCCTGCTCTTGCTATGGATTCGCACAACCTCTTCTCGTCTCATATCGGCCCAACGCCCCGCCCAACGCCTCGCTTTGCAGGGACCTGGATGATGCCATTGCGCAGGCCAAGGTCACGGGTGGTGAACTTCCCAATCTAGCTGAGGTCAGGCGTTGTTTTTTTCTTGCGCAGCCCACGCTGCCCGCTGCTGGTATGAGTCTTGTTCATGGCATGTCGCTGTTTGGTTTCGCAGAGTTCGACGAGCGGCGATCGTCTGCTGGGCGATGTTCACCGTCACGAATCATATGGAACACACGTGACAGTGAATTAAAGCTTGACTTGCGTGACCTTGCTTGCAAGCTGCGCTCCACCCCTGCATGATTGTCGAACGCATCCACAAAGTATTTTTAGGTTCTTGTGTTTTTTTTTCCTTTGGTTTTCTTTGATGTTTCTTCGTCCTTCCAGGCCCATGCGCATAGCCTCTGCTATGCCGTGCACATACGTGTACATGCTTTTAGCAGGCCCTTGAGTCGGGCTGAGCTTGGCGTTTGCGCTTTGAGTGGCAAAAGGCGTTCTTAGCTGTCTTAGTTTGGGAAGTTAGCTGCAAATCTACGTGAATATTGATCATCGAATGACAACCCACGCTGAAATTATGTTTCCTTTCGATTGCAGCACTGTGCAAAACCCACACACATGTATACAGACACATGCAGACATAGACATAGATGCGCAGATGCGCACTGGGCTGAGTATCGGACAAGCAAGGCCGCGCTGGCTCTTGGTGTTATCCCAAATCCAAGAAGGCAGCTCAAGCGCACAAAGCCAAAATACATGTCTGAACGCTTGCATCACAGCTTGCCTTGTCGCTCCAACAAGTCGCGCTTCCAAGCAGGCAGCTGTGCCATTTTCTTTTGGCGCTGATACTAGATTTTTTTTTTTTAAAAAAAAAAAGAGGTCAAAGAACGTGTGAGGGGCAAAGGCCAAGTGAGGGAGAGGTGAAATCCAAGTGAGCGAAGGGATGAGCGAAGCAAACCCATGGGATGACCGCATAGCGGTCATCCCATGGGCGTAAACGTGCAGACAGAGATATTCGGACCTCGTCCTGTTGGCGGTCCCATTCAGCCTTCATGCGCCGCGCCTCTTCTTCCCGCACAGCCTTTTCGGCAGCCAAGCGCTGTTCTTCTGCCTAAATAGTTGGGCAAGCCAGTTGGGCGATGTTGGCTTTGCCACTTTGACCAAAGGCACACCAAGAGGCAAAGCGAGGCGACGGCACATACGGCTTTGCGTCGGGCTTCTTCAGCAGCCATCCGCTTCTGACGTTCGGCTTGAGCCAGCTGCATCGCCTCAAACTAGTGCCCAGCAGCAGTCGTGAACAAGCAAAACCGCCCTTCTGCGAAAACATATTTGGTCAGCCCAGAGAAGAGGCCTGACCTCTTGCTGCATGCGCTCTGCCTCAATGCGCCGTTGTTGTTCCTCGTAAGCGCGGCGCTCTTTGTCCTCTTGGGCCTTTTGCTTCATCCGCTATGGGGCCGGCGAGGCGTAAGTCGTGTGTGGGGTCGGGTACGAGCGAGAGGAAATGGCGTTGAATTGGCAGACCTGACGCAGCATTTCCTCGTATTCCTCCTCGCGCCGGCGTTGCTCAGCCTTTTCACGCTCAGCGCCTTCGACACGCTTCTTTTCCTCCTCCTCCATGAATCGCGCTGCAATCTGTTTTCCATTCCGAGCGCAGGTATGGTGAGAGATTTGATGGTCAGACTCTAATGGGCATTGGCACCCGTCGGCACTCAAAACCAATAGTTTAAAATAAAATTCCCGCACGAGAGCCCCGCGTCTAGTCGAACCATCTATCACGTACCTCTTCTTCGGTTGCTACAAAGTCGAGATTGAAATAACCGACGAGGCCACTGCCGTGGGCTCGTACAATGATGGAGCTGCCATCCTCGAGGATGTCGAGCACATCACACATCTCACCCTCTTGCAAGCCGAGGTAGTGCGGACTGGAGATGGCCTGCGTCACAAACATATTGGCTGTACGTTGACAGGCCCCACAGAGGTCAGCGAGTCGAGCTCAGGGGGCGTTGGAGCTTGGTGTCAATTTCGGCTGGCTGCGTACGTACGTTTCAAGACGGGGGCGTCTTTGTACTTGCGAGCAGCAGCTGCCACCTGGGCAAAGTCGCCCGTGCACTTGCGGCACATATGAACCTGATGATCAATGCATGGGTTTCAAACAGGGTTGAATCGTGTCGTGAGTTCAATTTGGCGGCCATGGTTTGTACAGACGTGGCGCACTGGAGGGCGGGGACTGAGAAAGGGGCGGATACCTCCGGGTCAAACTCCCAGGCATCGCAACCTATGTGCAGTTCAAAAGGACAGGCGGGAAAGGAGAGGAAAGGGTCTTCATGTGAGCACCCGAGCTGCGTACACTGTACTCAATCCCAGAGGGAAGGGGATCGCCGGCGCGGGACCTGACAAGCAGCGGGGGTGCCTGCCTGTGGGCTGAGAGGAGCACACCAACCAACCTTGAATCATACAGCGCATGCGGCCCGCCATGACTATCGGTGCGGTGCCAACAATGTGCCAAGCGCAGATATCACCCTGCAACGTTGGTCTCTTGACGTTTGACCGCCGTCCTGCGCTAAATACCTCTTCTTCTGCCTCCCCCCCTTAGGTGCAGTGCGTCTGATCCGTCAAATGTCGCTGCTGCGTCCGCTGTGTGTGTGTGTGTGTGTGTGTGTGTGTGTTGTTGTTGTTGAAAATGCTCGACACATTACAATAAGCTTAGCGACTTGTTGTAGTAGTTGTATGGAGTTTTTGTGGTTTTCAACATGGGCTTAGTGGGAGTTGGTGTTGTTGAAACTTTGAGTTGTTGGAGTTTTGGCTTTGGTTGGTTCGCGTTGAGAAAAAGTTTGGTCGCAGGTTGTCTGTCAGTGATGTGGTGCTGAGGCGGCGCCACTGTTTCGCATGGGGGTGCAGACCCTTTGGAAGCGAGTTGACACTCGCAGGCGCAGTTTTGACATGGGAATCAATTTCTTGGGTGGGAGGATGTTCTACAAGGTCTTTCTCAACCCAAGAGGCCGAAGAAGCGCTTGCGACGAGGTTGATTGGCGTTTTGTTCGTTCACCGCTTGCTGATGTTGGAGCTGCTGCTGCAACAGGAGGCGCTGACGCTCCTGGAAGGCCTCTGCCACGCTCTGCGGGTGACAAAATGGCAAAGTCAAGGAAAGAATATGAAGACAAGTCAGAGGGGGCCTGTCTTGAGCCCAGTTGGCCATGGCTCACCTCCTCGCCTTCGTACGACCTGAGCACGTCGCGCACATCCGGCACTCTGCTCTGCACAATGTCTAAGAATGGCCATAAAGAGCAAGCAAACGAAAGCTGAGAGGCAGCACACAAAGGCCGAGGATAATGCGGGACATGCCAAACAAACGCAAGTCGGCTGTGGGCACGCACTGGCCAAGAACGTCAGAACATCCAGCAGCTCGCGATCGTTGGCCTGCTCCGGCGTGCCCTTGAACGGGCGGACCTGGGGTATGGGAGTGTGGGAGTGTCAGCAGGGTTGCAGTGCAGAATCACCACGGGTCCCAGCCGTTGTCGCAACGTGCGGCACAACCAACCCGGAGAACATTATCCTTGTGTTTGCGCACTTGCTCGGGCTTGTCGTCAATCACAATCACCTTGGAGAGGTCACGATTCAGCCAGTCCAAGTCCTAATGGGTTGACCATCAAGGGGAATGAGCCAGGGGCAATCGCACGGGTCGAAAACTCGCCGTTTCACAGAGTCTTGATCAACGGCCACATGGGCACGAGCATACTGACCTTCACGGGCTCGCCATCGACGTAACGCATGTGCGGCTTGTAGAGGCGGTACTGAATACATTGCTTGGGGTCCATCTTGTCGATCAGCAACATGGCTTCCTGCAAAGATACGACGGCGGGTGTCGTTGTGAGGGTGTGTTGCTAAAACCCGTATCAAGGCTTCGACGGAGCGAGTCGGTGTCACACTACACGCAGAGGCCGTACCGCCACCTGGCTCTCGGAAAAGACAACCAGCTCGAGGCCCAGCTCCATGACACACGATTCCAGGAAGTTGGCCAGAAAGGGGCGCTTCTTCGTGCGCCAGCCATGCTCAAACTAAGGGGAGCACCAACAAGATACACGGCACAGCTGGTGAGTGCCTTTCCTCATGATCGCGCTCATGTCCAGGGAAGGGCAGCATGGAACAGGAGATCACAAAAGAGGCAGTCGGAGCACAAGAGCCGTGGGATCGACAGGAAATGACAGATACAGGCGCTTGGAAGTAGCCAACACGTGTTGCGAGGCTGCAGAGGCTGCAGACGCACCGTCCACTCAGAATGTAGCAGGGTATCCTCCAAATCAAGGACAATGGTGTAATCTGTAGGGCGGTATTGTGGGGGCAGTGGCTCTGGCAGAAGAAGCTCAGGCTCCGGGTCAGTAAAGTCCTGTCAGGCGGAGCATGTGCTGTGAGCGGTTCGCAGTGCGAGGGATAAAGGTGACAACGAACCGGAGTATGGAATTGTGCACGCGCTCAAACCTGATAAAGCTGACGTGCGCGTTTGGTAGCTCGAGTGACGTAGTTTTGCACCTCGTTCAAGTTCATGGGTCGCTGCGCTTCTTCCAGCGTGGTCGGGCCACCTGCTCGTGGGTGATGAAGCGTGGGTTAGACCCAATGATCACTTTGAGGCATGTTTGGCCCGAATCGCTCTTACCAAGAACATAAATGCCGACACCCGCCGCACCGACGCCTGCAATGCCCATGGCAGCCATGACCCAGCCGCCCATGGAGCTGGCCTCACTGCTGCTTTGGCTCGCATCACCCTCGGTGCTGGCAAAGCGACGGGCTCCCCGCGCTGGAAGCAGCGTTCGACGCGCGCCCGCACCACGCAAAGTCGTGCTAAAGGCCGCCTGGGCCATCTTGCGCACAGCAGCCATGTTCTTCGATGGCCGATCAGTCACCCAATCCCACCGTGTCTATTCAAAACGTGACGTCCAAGAAGTCAGGGTGCACGATGCTTGCAACCGTGCACGTTGTTGAAGAAAAAAAAAAAAGAAAAAAAAGGGTAGACAGCGCGAGACAGACAGACAGAAAGACAGGAAAACAAGAACGGGGCCCACAGTGGCCTGCAGAAAAAGGCTCACATCCACCCCTCCCCCGGCCACTGTCAATGCTATAGTGGCTTCCCCCTCCTCCACTGCCCACAACCCCGCCTTTCCTGTCACCTGCCCCGTGCGCGCTCTCTTCCCACTTGCCCCGCGTGTCGTACACCGCTTACCTCTTGAAGTCTTGAAGTCTTCTCGTTGAATGCTATTTTTCAAAGTGACACAAAAGCCCTGCATTCACTCGTTCTCTCTCTCTCTGTAATGTAGACGCAAGGACAGTGTGCGAACAGAGAGACAGAGAGAGAGAGATTTGGCGGGAAAACATGTGGTTAAAGTATGACTGTAGCACACTTTTGGGTTTCGCGGGAAAATACGTGGTTCTGTCGACAAATGAAGGTGTGTGTGTGTGTGTGTGTGTGTGTGTGTGTGTGTGTCAGTGTAAGCTAACGCCCTTGGTTTTTGAATGCAGGGCCTTGGGTGGGAATGCGGGGCATCATGGGGGTTAGAGCAGTCATTTCGCCGTTGATGCAGCTCGCCTTGGTTATTCCGTGTTGAGCTGGCGCTGGATCCTCTCCCGTCCAAAGCATTTGAAAAGGTGCACGAGGTTTGGTGAGTTGCATTTCCTTCGCGGAGCCGCGCATCATGCAGGCCGACTGCCACACGCCCCCCTTAGCGGGATCGCCGCCAACGACACCACCCACATTGCGCCGGAACTTGACTCCTACCCCACCCCAACGGCGGTCGCTAACCCCTCGTGGACACAAGCGATCAAGCACCGTGCATTCGCCCGCCCGCAAATGCCTACTCCTCGATCCAGCATCGCCGCAACTCTCGCCGATCCCGGAAGATCCACGCGCCGTTGTGTTTGCCAGCGACTATCTGCTTTCCATCATTTTCACGTACCTCGATGCTCACGTTGAGTCTGTCATCAGCTGCGCCCATGTCTGCCGCGAGGTGCGTGCCTGGTTCGGCCTGACTTTTGGCCCACGAGCACACTGGTTTCACCCTCATGGCAGCCTGGCCTTTTCGTGCGTTCCGTCTTAGTGGCGCCGCGTCTTGCTCCAATGCAAGCATATCTGGGACGCCATAGGTGCTGCAGAAATCACACCCGTCTTTCCAGCTTGGCACACCTATGCGCGCGACTTTCGCGGCAGTGCTTCCTACGGATATGCCGTGCTCAACTTTTTCGCCACGGAATGCCATTTTTGCAGTCAAGCCACACCCTGGTACAGGACCACTGCTGCATGTGCATCTCCTGCACCATCCTAGCTTGAGTGACTCCATTGTGTTTCTCGGAGAAAGTGGCTGCCCTTGATAGTATCGATACCACCTGTGCACTGGCTCATGGGCATCCAATGCACGCCCTTTTGATGCTAGGTATCTGGCCATGATCGGCGCCCGCGTGTGCTTGTCCTGCTTCCATCGCAGTCATGGCCCGGTGGAAATGTGCACGCTTGCGCATGCTCATGAACTGGGCTACACCGAGCAGGATCTAGCCGGCTTGCCCTTTGTCCGCGCTCAACAAGCTCCACTACGGCGCCCCGGGCAAGATCCCAACCACCTCGACGAGCGCACGATTATCCTGCGGCGCCAACTGCCCGTCCGCCCTCGTGCAGCATCGCCCTTGGCCCCGGTTCCCAAGCGCGCCAAGTACGTTTCTGTCCCCTGTCAACTCCCATCCAGTTTCTGATGGGCCCAGTTCCAGTTCACCGAGCAATCCACTTTGCCGGAAGCATTAGGTCGCTGAACGTGTTTGGGCTCTTCCAGTCCCAGGGCAAGCTGGGAAATTTGAATGCCCTCTCCTACCATCGCACATTGGCTATGCGCGCCCTGCCACGCTATCCGAGGGTGTGCCACGTGTATACCGAGGCTGGCCTCAGGCAGGCCCTTCGCTCATCCTCAACGCGTGGTCATCGCGACGGTTTTGTGCAAATTGTGCTCCATCGCTCGCTAGACCTGAGTGCACCACTACAGCCACAAATGCCAGCGAGCTTGGTGGGCGTCCACCCCGGACACATCAAGCTGCGCATTCGCGGGGCCATCGGGGCCATTCTCACCTCTGACTGGCTGGAGCTGCGGCAGCTCACCATTGAGCAGTACGACGTTCCGGCGGGAGCCTTTATGTGTGCAGTCCAGGCCGACAATGGGGCCGTCGTCGTGATGCGAAACTGCACTGTCTTGGCCTCTGGCTCCGCTGTGCGCGGGCTTCGAGGCTCACAATTGGTTCTGCACGACAACCTCTTGGTTGGCATCACCGCCGTGTGCCTTGATCTTGAAGACAACTTGATCCAGTGCACAGGCAACACATTGTCTTACTACGGTACGTGGGTGGAGATGGCCACGGCCTCCCTGTTTTTGCTGTCGTCTGTGATAGCAGAACGTGAGTCAGGGCGGGTGACTGTAGTTCAAGTATGAATTTAGGGGCGCACAGCGCCAGAGCCAGCCAAGCGCGTGGCTTGTACAGGCACGAAGCGACTGGGGGACAGTGACAAAGGAAAGAGCCACATGCTCACGTGACATGGTCCTGGTCAAACCCATTGTCCACACAATAGGCGAGTGGCACATTCAAGTGGTGGCCAATCAGGACGAGAATCCGGAACGCGAGTATGGATCCACCAACAGCATCGAGTTGGTCGACCCACCCTTTCCTCAGCATTGACGTGCCTCGTGCTGCATCAAGGCATTTTGGGCAAACAACAACACCAAACCGGAATTGCATCCTAGATCACAACCATCCTTCTGCTACCACGCATCTTGGGCTCCAGCGTAAAGGCCGATGGCAGCCAGAATGATGCCACCAATCAGGACGAGCATGGCGAGCATGTCGTCGCATTTGCCAATCAGCGGAATAAAGTCGGGAATGATATCGAGAGGGAGTTGAAGGTAGCACCACGCCTCGAGGGCGATGGCGACCCCGAGGCTGACTAAAAAATGGGGGGTTGGTACGCTTGGCAGCTCGGTAATGTCCTCAATGCCCAGCGACCAGAACCAGAGCAAAGGTGTGGCCAGCATGCCTGCCACCGCCACAATCTGTAGCAGCAGGCCCTGGCAAAAGCGCGCCAGCATTCTTGGGGGCTAATCAAAGGGGAGGGCTTGGAGAGTCCAGGAGGATAAAAATGTTTTTTCTTAGAGTTGCCACGCGCCAACTGTCGAGTGCTCGTGCCGTACGCGTCGGCGCGGGGGTTGGAGCTCTTGAGGAGCCGAGCGTCTGCCCAGATTGACGTGGCGCCCCCTCACCCAGTCTGCGTTGTCCGCAGACCGACTCAAAACACCCTGTTGTCAATTGATGT